CTGGCACGGACTGATCCTGCGAGTTGTTTTTTCGGACATGGGCCTCTGTACCAGGAGGCAAAGTAGTGACTTGAGGTCTCAGGCAAACCAAGGTTTGTGACATGTAGCAAGCTTGTCTGCTGCAAACGACCCCTCTGCAACAAGTTGTTCAGTTGGTGTGGGTCCAATGGATTATCCGACCAGTTTCCCAAGAAGTTGAAGTCCAAAGATCCAACCAGATAGCCATAAAGCAAGGGGCTAGGATCTGGTTGCTCTCTTTGAAACCAAAGGCAAAAAAAGCCGTTTCAAGATGATGGTGTTCCAACAGCCTGTCCACTGCACTGTTCCAGCACAAGCGACCCCACAAAGCAGAAAAGAGAGATTGAAGAGATCCTTTCTTTCAAAGGTTGGGGAACTACAGGGAACCGCGCTGTTTCCATTTGGCCCTGGGTCAAAATCCCGTACCCCATGAACATCCCAATCCCCACTAAAATAGGTTCTAAAATGGGTGGTGAATTCACCTGCCAACCAAAATGGGATCCCATTGATTTTGACACCCACCACCATTTTGCAGAAGCTCCAACAGCAAGGCCTGGTGAAAAACCTGAAGCTCATGTGTTCCCAGGCCAGTGGCACACCAGTGTTTAGGTTCAAAAGCAACACCCTGGCCCCAAAGTGGCACCTCCGCTTGGATGGGAATCCTCTCCCCAAATCAACGGGAAAAAGGCGTGTCTTTGCTTGGTCATACTCTTGGGTACCACCTAGCTGTCAACCTCTTTGAACATCTAAGATATGTTCCCTGAGCAGCCCACAGCCCATGACTTGTGGAGGCACAATTTCTGACTCATCTAGGGAGCCCTTGCTGTTTTCTGGTGAGCGAACTACGCGAGTAAAGGGGGACCTCAAGGAGTGGCCATTTGATTAAGCCCGCTGGAAAAACAACATTTCCCATAGTGATAGGTTCCCATTGAAACTCACTGGGAAAAAAAACAACAACAAATATGATTAAGCAAATGGAAGAACAGTTGGGTCTCATTGTGGCTTGCCGCGATTCTTTGCCGGCAGGCAACATTCGGACAAATCTGATTGATCGCATTGAGGTGGCTCCCGAAGAACAAGCGCGCAGCGATTCCTACCAGTTGCAAACCACAGATCAAGCTGACTGGACCTTCACCGACCACAAATTAAAGGTCAAGAAGCGAGGATCCCTGGTCCCGGGGCTCATATCGAGGTCCAGATGAAACTGAATTGAAAGTAAACTTCTGGGTGTTCCGTCAACTTCAGGAGTCCCTTCAGGATCAGGATTGAAAGGAAACTTGGAGCAAACCGACCAATTGGACGGTTTGGTTGGGGCGACCTTGGGGTTGGCTTGGTTCCTCGTCCTCCCAAGCCTTTAGGAATCTGAGTGTAAGCCAGGGGGCGCAAGTGGACAACCCGTTTTGGTGACCCCAGTTCTTTGGACGGCCCCACATGTACGCCTTCTGAAGCCAGTTAAAGGATTCCTTTGGCTTTGGAGACTTCTCAATCACTGGCCCTCAAAGTCCAAGTACCTAAGGAGCTCTTTCTCGACCCAAAATGACCATGGGTCACTGTTCCCATGTGGTGAAAGTCATCTTGTTTTGGTTTCCCTATTTGTCACCACGTGTAAAGGACCTTTTGATCAACCCCCATGTGGGGATCTGATGCTCATCTCGGAATCCAACAGCCTCTGTCGTTGGCCAGCCCTGCAGGATCCGCTCGGTGATGGCCTGGAGCAAGTCGCTCACTTGCCACAATTGTTGGTTCTGCTTATCTCAGATGCTCAGTGGTCATGAGAAGAAAAAGGGTATCTTTCTTTGTTTGGTTGGTGGAGTTTAAGGGGAACCCTTCCCAAAAAAAGAACCAAGGGCACCACTGGGCAACTGGGATCTATATACAAACGCAATGTATTCGCCTCCAGATATAGGAGACATTGGTGGGTTTCAAGACTTAAGTTTGAAGTGAGAAATTGTTGGTTTCAAGACTTGTTCGAATAATCCCAGCCCGTTTTGCTCAAAGGCACCGTCTCACCGCGTGGCTCTTTCGAGTTTCAAGTGCAAATGGGGAAGGGAGACTAAAGTGAGGATCAGTGAGACAGACAGCCATCCAGATTTATTGAGGGGTGCGAACTCACTTTGGAGAAGCCCTTTGCGAAGCCAATAACTTGATACCCGGGACCCATGTGGCTTATTTGGGACTTGCTGGCTTGTAACAAAAGACGATTGACACGCCCCACATGAGTCAAAATCAAACCCGCTATTCAAATGGTCTACCCAGAACCACGTAAAGAGTTACAAAGGGGGCTGCACTTGATTCTGGCTCACATGTGAACCATTGGTTTCATCGAAGACAAACCTTCATGCATGTTCCTTGTGCTAGTAAGCTTGACGACTTGGAAACAAGCATAGGCACAAAATGGCACAAATTGTTTCCTGCCGTGGTTGAATGATGCTGGCAACTGCACGGAGCCGCAAAAGCAGCATCCGAATCGCCTTCTTGTACTCAGCGGCACGCATTCTAGTCACACAAAAAGAAGCTGGGCAAACCACTGGGACTCTTGTTCCACAGATTGCTGCGGAAACTGTCACACTTTCTCTCACCTCAGCAAACCTGGTAGAAACCAAATTGGAACTGCTTTTGGTGCCAAGGCCACAGGGATTTGGAGGCTACCCTTTTTTCGGCCACGTGGGTTCCCTGCCATTCCTTGCTTTTCTCTGACTCCCTCAGGGTTGCGCAAACTGTTGAAACGATCTCCTTTCGGCTTCCCATGAAACTTGGCCCCCTGGAAACCACAGCAAGCCCATCATCCTACAAACTACAAAATCGGTTTGGAGGAGACCCTGCGAAAGAACCACCGGAGAGCGGCTAAGCGGCTTCTCCACATTCACCCTATAGTTTGCAGAACGAACAACCGAAGCCGCAGCCGACGCCTGCGGGTTGAACTGTACCTCGGCCTTGAATCGCACGGTGTCCACCCCCACCAGCTCTGTCCTGCCACCGGTGCCTTCTCCCCACGTCGGAATTTGTCCCTGACCGATGTGCTTTTTGCATGATCCACGAGAATGCCCGAAAAGACAAAGCACCTTGAGGAAACTCGGCAAAACAAAACCTCTCACCAGTTATCTTCTGAAAGTTCTTGCAACAAGGAGCAAACCTCATGGATCCGATTGCAGCTACTCAGGGCACCACAAAGTCTGATGTAACCCGAAACATGATTCGTTTCGAAGCAGCAGGGATTTATTCAAGGGCTCTTGTATAGTGTTTCCTGTGGGACTGTTCACCAGAAATGATGTAAACGAGTTCAACGAAGGAGGAACTTGATGTTGATCTATATCCAAACGGCGGCATTACCACAGCTGCTCACTGCAAAGCCATGCTGGCCAAAGATTATCGCTGCAAATACGCATCCATGAGTTCGAGTCGAAAACTACAACGACAGGGCATGTGACAAATCCAAAGAAGCATCAGCTCCAGCGAAGTAAGCATGCGCCCCTAACCTCGACCCCCAGTCCTCAAGTCCCAACCCACCCCAAGCGTATAAATATGTGCCACCCACCTCTCTCTTGCCCCACTGGCCCTGAGTTCATAAGTTGCTTGGCCATCAAGGGCTTGGGATCTCAAGCCTCCTCCAATGCCAAACTCTTTTCCCCTTGATCCATCGATATAACTTGGTTTGAGGGTCCACCCCCGACGCGGCAAAAAATGGAGGGGCCGGGCTCGGACCGGGTCAAGCCCAAAGTCGTGGCGGGTGCACTTCACGTCGTAGACGTTTACGACCTGACAAAGAAACGTGCCGGACCAAGTTAGGTCCCCGCGTCGTCTTCCATTTGCTTAAGTCTACTGAAACAAACACATAAATCCAGGAGAGATAGATTCCCTTTCAAACCAACAGGGGAACATAAACAACACTCTTAAGCAAATGAAAGGAGTCTGAGGGCTCACCCCCACAACTCCATTGAGGGAAGGGGAAGCGTTGTGTCGAAGAGACACCATGCGATCATGCCATCACAAAGCCGGGAACACGCGGAAACTTTGAGCCCCAACAACACAAAACAACATGAACCAGCGTTGAACCAGCAATGAACCCCACTAGCCACCCGTTTTGGGGCACCATCTTTGAGGGATCAGATTGCCATGGTCTGAGTTTCTGATCAATGAGACTTCCCCAAAGCTAAGGTCAAGTCGTCACGCTTGGACCCCATTGGAAGTTCATCCCATCGCCCTCATTTGGACTCCAATTAACTTGCCTTCGTGAATCTGCGAAAGACCACACGCCTGGCGGAAAAATGAGCGGAAAAAGGGATGTGTCTGCATGTTCAGTCGGAAATATGAAACTTGGACCTGTACCTAGGGATCCCCTCGCATGAAGCTGGGGGATTCTTTGTAGAATTGTTCCCAGTCACATGGCCGCTCGCACGACTTCCTTTCTCGCAAGCCTTGTCGACTCGTTGCCATGAAAGGCGTTCCATGGGCCCACACTCATGATTGAAGAGCCCCGAAAAGCCCCGATGTCCAAGCTGCAAGCAAAACAACAAGCCAGCTTTTGCTGAGCTCATTGAAGAGGTTTGTGGTCATCTGCGCTTCAATGTTGCATCTCCCGAATGGGCTTGAATTAATAGTATGTCTGCTGTTGTCTCCCTGAGTCAACGCATTCACCTCGGAGTCTCCCCTTTTGAACGGCAAACTGTGACGGACGACTGGATCATGGACGGTCACGAGCCGTTGTTCGAATGGATACAACTGGAAGAGTAGAGGGTTCTGAACACAATGTATTCATTGCGCGGCTGGCCCTCCCGGGCCAAGACTTTGGGTAAGTCTCACAGGTGGCGTGATACAAACGGAAACGGCCCCAGTCTTGGACTTGTATAGACCCTGCCGATGACCGCAAACCCGGGCTCCAATAGAACCCGATGACAGGCTTCAGCAGCTTGGCAACAGCAGCACTGTGTGGAATTGCCGCAATGCCTTCAAACAGCCTTTGTTGCTGTTTCTTTAGATTGATTGGGCTGCTGGAAAAGCTGCTTGTCGGCGGAGACAAGCCATGGCTTCAAGCAACCAAAGGGGCCCCAGATTCAAACGCATTTCCGTCCAACAATACCTTTCCACGGTGCCGTGCAGTTTGCGATGCAGCCGACTCGTTGTGTCCCGTGTCTTCAGATCGCATTGTCAAATTCCCATCGGCGTTCAGGGTCATACCAGCGCCATCGGTCCCAGCATGTCGCCTCGATGACCTCCAGTGGCAGCCATGGCAAACTGGCTAACCAGCACCCCCTCCATCTGTTTTTCGAATACTGTACTTGGAACTTTGGACATGGTTGAAAAAGCCGGTGTTGGTGCTGGAAGGAAGCACTGTTTGTTGGTTTTGAAGGCAAACCCACTGCTCCAACAAAACGAAGAGCTCACTTGTAGATGGCCGGTCCCACCATGTTTCCCTTCTGCAGATCCAAAGCGGCTGCTCAAGAGGGGAGCCTAGAAACAACAAACAAAACATCATCCATCCCCTTCTGGTTTTGCAACATGGATCGGCCCACATAGAAACCCCGATGTGTCCGGCAGGAAACCTCTCGCTGGACAGCTTCTGCAACGAGGAACTGATTGGATCGAGTGTCAATCGGCCTTTGACACCTTGGCCTTTTCGGGCACCGACGAATATGGCATGGGCACTCATGTTTTGTTGGCCCTTTGAGTGCCGTTTGATTCTGGGCTCCAACTATCAGCCTAGCCAGCATCCCAGACCGACAAATTATGGGAACATGTCAAAATAGGGATTTGGATAGTGACGGTCTTTTGGTTTCCCTTTAGATCAACCTGAAAAGGGGTGCCCTCAAGAAACAATTCCCGCATCAAGCCAGTACACATGAGGCCACACACACGACCCCTAAGCAGGCAGGCGCCGCGAGACGAATTGCACCAAGCGGCTCACGAATCCGACACAGTGGTTCCCCGCATGTTCCTCAGTTCCATGCGTTTGGCAGCGTCAAGCCAATGAGGCAGGCACTTATCATCCCCTGTCAAGATCAACATAGGGGCCTGGATACATTGTTTCCCTTGTACTGCTTTGGGTTCAGGCACCAAGAGCTGTCGCCTGACTCGGGGTGAATAGCACATGTTTTGCAGCTGCTCATACGGGAAATAATATGGGAAAGGACTATGTCGGGATACCCCAATCATTCCGTTCGTTGCGGGGGAATGGCGTATCTGTGCAGTTCACCGCTGTTGTGCGCTGCTAGGAAGGGTTCTCGCCTAGGTGCAGTGGCGGAGGATAGAAAGCCGAGCGAGCCACGTCCCAAACGTGTCATGATTTGATATGTCGTATCATCTTGCTTACGCCACTAGCTTCTGCCACCTTACGCGTGTGGAGTTTGCCATGTGGAGGTTTTGCTTACGCCATCAGCTTACGCCACCTTACGCGCGTGGAGTGTTTGCTTGCGCACAGGTCGATACGACACGACACTTGTTAAAGGAGGTTTTGGACGCCACTTAAGTGGGCATGGGTCAAATTAAGCCACTATAGTAGAACAACAGGTCTTAGTCCAGGTTTCCACTTATCAGGGTTTCAATTTCGGAACCAGCCAAGTGAGGCACAGATGTCCGTGTTGATTCGGCAACACCCACCCTTTCCAGCAGCCAAGCTAAGGCTGGCAAAACCCATCGAACCGCTAGGCGAAGGCAACGAGTGAGTTGGGACGCCTCTCCTTACCATTCAGCTGGGTGTGTCCTTTCTTTAATGGGTGACACCAACCAAAAGAAGGTTTCCTAAAAAGCAGACAGGCCCATCTCTTCAAAGTTACCCAAGGGTGCCTTTGGCCAAGGCTGGTCATGGAACAAGAAGCACTCAAAGGGCTCCCTCAAGGATTGACATCCGGATTCAATGAAACCCACGCCATTCCTCCCAAGCAAGCAGCAAGTTCCCTTTCGAGCCTGGAAGCGATCCGCCCTTTTCCCCAACCCTTGGGGCGCCGACACGTCCCCGCAGCAGCCCTTGTAGATGGCCCCTATCAAGACTCCCGGAGCACCCAGGGAGCCCATGATCAAGAAGACCTCGACGTATGGCGCCAAGCAAGCCGAGCGGCTGAAGAGCCCTTTTTTGAGGGTTGATGCCGCTTTCTTCCTGAAATGTTGTTTTGCTTAGGTACAGAATGTCCATGCTACTGACCCTTATTGATGCTTGCTGCCCTGTTCTTGCTTTGTGCTTGTTCTGTATGTGTTCGTTGCAGGGGTATGTAAGTTGTATATATATATATATATGAACAGTTGAAGCACGTAGCAACTGCAGGTCACTATCCCCCTTATGCTGCTGGCAGCTTGCGGGATAGAAAAGCCAAAAGGACTGACTTGTTGGAGGCTGGAACTGGGCAAATTGAAAAGTATAGCCTGTCTAGCACCCAGGTGTTTGTCAAAATCGGAGGAAAACTGGCGGTGGTCGGCCGTCGGCTGCCCTTACAATTCACAGACAATTGACAAGTACCCTGAACAAACGCACACCCAGGCACCCTCACGAGTAGCCAGGAACGATTATGCCAAGACCACACCTTCAACCGGGCCCAGGCTGTCTCCTGCACTTTTAAGCTGACAAATGGGTGTGGTACCCCTTTGATTTGAGGGGCCTTGTCAACTTGGGTTGTCAAATCGGGGGTCCGCTTTGAAAGACGTCACCTTGGCCGGCATAAGGATCCAAAAAAGGCCGTTGTTATTTTTGGACAAAACAACCCACCTGTGATTGCCAAGAAACCCATGAGGTTAACCAGCCCTGTTTTTTGTGTTGCCAAGCGGAACCCGTCCGAGTGATCCACATGATGGCCACAGGAACATGTTCACAGCGGGTTTGCCGGGCCGCTCAAGCCGTGAATGAAACGGGGAGAACAAACGCTTGACCCACCCCAGCCGCACAAATGAAACATCGTCCATACTGCCTGCATCAAAAACATCGGCAGTCACACGCCGACTATTCTTCCCAGCCGGCTGGCAGGCGAGCAAACAACAATGGTTTTCATGGCGGCTGGGGTAACAAGGGGGGGAGGGCTTGTTAAGGTTGTATTTGGGCTCCCCCCAAGCCCCCATGATTTGTTCTTTGCAGCCCCACCAATTCAACATGAACATGTTAAACGGCGGTCAAATGTTGATTCTGGGCGGTTCAACATAAGTGGCGTTTCAAATCCTCAACTGAAATTCCCTACCAGGAGACCCAAAAACCGCTAACAATGTCATACCCAAAAAAAACACGATGCTTTTTCTGGAAACACCATATGTTCAGATTTAGTAATCTACAGGAAATACACAGACTTTCAAAAGACAAGCCTGTGCAAACGCAACTGCTTCTTCAACAATAAATTACTCGGCCGACCTCATTTGTTGAAGACAAAACATCCGGTTTCCAATCCTTGAAAGAGCTAGCTAGGGCACGCCCGAGAACCCTTCAGAAAACCCAAGGTGCCTGATTTTGCAAAGTTACGACAGGACACCTGCTATGTGTACCAAGTTTGAGTGGCAGCGTCAAAAGGAAAACAGAAACCTCACTGATACTTGTCGGTTGGGGGCCCCCGGAACCCATTTTTCCCACGGGTTACAAACGGATTCGACACGGGTTAGCCACGATGTTTTCTGAAAACCCGAGGTTTTGGCAAAACACCTGCCATGTCCAGGTTACACATGCAACATGACGTTCCGAACTCCCATTGCAGGACCTGCAGCATCGGCCAGTCTTTTTGTACACCCTGTATACCATTCGGCAATGGAGCATTCGCGGGTCATACATGGGCTATGCCTGAACATATACC